GTTTATACCACTGTGCCCAGTTTATTTTCATTTTTGAGACAGGGTCTCACTAAATTGTCCAGGCTGGCCTCAAATTTGCCATCCTCCTGCCTCTCAACCTCCCAAGTCTCCGGGATTACAGGCATGCACCACCATGCTTGGCTCAAAATAAAAATAATTTTTGAAAAGGGCTGAAGATATAGCTCAGTGATAGAGAGCTTGCCTATCATGTGTGAGGACCATGAGTTCCCTCCCCAGTACCGCAAAAAAGGAATTAAAAAATATAGAGAAAACCATTGAAATTGAAAGCTGTTTCTTTCAGAAAATTAGATAAAATTAATAAGCCTCTAATGAGACTGATTTTTAAAAAGAAAGGCAAATCATTAGTATCAGAAATGAGAAAGAAAGCTGGGTGCAGTGGTACATGCCTTTAATCCTAGCAACTTAGAAGACTGAGACAGGAGGATCACAAATTCGAGGCCAGCCTGAACACCTTAGTAAGACACTGCCTTAAAATGAAAAATAAAAAAGGCTGAGGATGTGGCTCAGTGGTAAAGCATCCCTGGGTTCAATTCCTAGTACCAAAAAGAGAGAAAAAAACAAGAAATAAGAAATGACACTGCTAAGGATTGATATTAAAAGGATAATACAGGAATATTATAATAAACAACCTTGTGCCAATAAAGTTAATGGCAAAGATAAAATAGCCAAATGCCTTTAAAGACACATACTACCAAACACATTCAAGAAGAAATAAATAACCTAAATAGCTATCTGTTATAAAATAAATTTAATTTGCAGTTTAAAACTTGCTTATGAAGAAAGCACCAAGAGACAGCTGGGCTGAGATATGAGATAGGGGTGGTCATTAGCACTGAGGAGGTAGAGGAAGTCATGGATCGGAAGAAACTTCTTAGAAAGTATTATAAGGCTGGGCATATGGCTCAGACCACATGAGGCCCTGGGTTCAATCCTCAGCTCTGGAAAAAGAGAAAGGGGGTGGGGGGAAGCATAGCAGAATCCTAGAGATTCCCTAGTGCTAAAGAAGAAAGTTTAAAAGTCTTTTCCCATCCCTAGCACTGCAAAAAATACAACAAGATTTTAGCTGAGATAGCACCATTGCATGGAGCTTTCTTGTACTTTTAGATCTTGATTTCTAGCCCTTCCTCCTTAGTGAATGAAAAGTTAGAATGCCAAATTGAGTGCTTTAATGTACTAAGGGATTTTAATATAGTCCAAATGGCAGGGAAATGGGACACTAAATTGGGAGAGATAAATAATGAGGTAATGTAGATCTTGGATTCAATACATACAATAAAATGTATGAATGTACCACTGAATGATTTTGACAGTACATATACCTGTGCAACTCAAGCCTCTACATGTATACAGAATGCTTTCAACACTCCAGAAGTTTCCCTTACTTCACCAGGACAGGTAATTCCTCCTCTAGTCCCTGGAGACCGGCACCATTCTGTCTGCTGCTCTCCATACTAAAAAAAATATATATATATATATCTTAGAGGCTGGGCTGTAGCTCAGTGCTCTCAATGGTAGAACGCTTGCCTAGCATATGTGAGGCCCTGGTTCCATTCTTAGCACTGCAAAAAAAGAGAATTTTAAAATCTTTTAAACTTGTGGGTTATTCAAAGAAAGTATGGATGATCAGGTGGCAGGATCAGGGATGGGGAATATGAGTCTGAATGCTGCTTACGATCATTTATTCCATGTAATTTTAAAATCAAATCAAATAAAGCAGCTTCTCTTCTCCACCAAAGAGAAGTTTTGCAAGAGTTGACCTCCAGCCTTCAGGGTCTTCCTGACTAGGGAAGAGGGAGGATTTGTTTAACCACTTTGTTCTTTCCTTTTTAACCTGTTTGTATTTAACCAGAACCCTGTTAGGCATTTTAATAACCTTTTTGTTGTTGTTGACTTAAGTAAGAGATGAACTTTAGATATATGTCCAAACTCCAAAGTTTAGGTTCCTTGCACCCTAAGTCTCTACCGACACACACACCCCCACCTCTTCCCAGAGTGGCTTTGCAGGATTCTTCCAGCCGTGGGAAAGAAATGTAATTTTGGACCCAGGAGAGGGAAGGGCCAGCAAGTGGGGTAGCTGTCCGCACCTGTCTCCAGGCCTGAGGTCATCCACCTGCCCAGTCACAGTGCCCCAGGCAGAGAGTCCCCTCCCCGCGGTCCTCTGCCAGACCTTTTGGCTGCTGCATAAATCACCCGACCCGACCTGGGTGAGTGCCCGGGTTGGGCCTGCTTCCCCACCCCCTCCCTGGAAAGGAAAGGCCCAGGCAACTTCGGTTTGAGACCCACAGGACCCAATTTCCCAACCGCGGGAAGCCGGAAGGAGATCGATTGCCCCGTGCCCAATCGTGCCCAATCCTGTGCCCTGGGATCGCTTCCCACAGGCCCTGGCGCCCACAGCAGAGCTCCGCACCAGGAACAAGGCAAGCTCAGCCTGCAGCTTCCCCGTGTCTCGCTATCGCTGGCGCTTCTGTGATCGTTGCCCCGAGGCTGCAGGGGCACTACCAGATTGCGCAAAGACCCTGTCTCTCTGCACAAATACCCCAGGTACAGTGCGGGCCCCTGATGTTTGTCCCCTCTCTCCCCGCCCTGGCCACCCTTAGGCGGCCAGGGCAGGGGTTAGAAATGGGACATTTGGCAGCCCCCAACTTGCAGGATAGAGAGATAGAGATAGAGCCTGGGGTTGAAAGTCACTATTGCAAAAGCGCTTGTCTGATCTTGAGGCTTATCTAAGACTGATAGCATGAAGGCCTTTGGAGTCTGAGCCAATATTTAACAGCCAATGAACATCCCAGATGCTAGGAGGCTGGCAGGCAGTATCTGAGTTTGAGCTGTGAGTTTAAAAAAAAAAAAAAAAAAAGTGTTTTTGAAGGAAACATTAAACCAAAGATTATTTTTCCTTTTTTCTCTGTCTTCTATTCATTTGCCCACCCATGTGGATGACTTCTTAGCTCAAAGCAGATATAAGACAGAAGCATGAAATTGCAGGAAATTTTTATCAGCACTGGAAGCCTGCTCACTCAAGGAAGACTTGCGGAAAGAGGAAAGTTGCCTTTCACATGGGATGCTTATCTGATGTTTTTTTTTTTTTTTTCTGGGTAATTTTTTTTTTTTTTCTCCCAGTTCACTCATCACCATCTCTGGCCTAAAGTCCCAGCATAGAATGTTCCTTGCCTGTGTTCAAGACTCTTTGCCAAACTGGCACCATGCCTTCTTAGGAAGCAAGACATAGCAGAGGGGCTATTGGTTCCTCCACCACTTGTACCTTGCTAATGTCCTTTTACCACCCCTTCCATTGCCTGTTTTTTTCTTCTTTTTTTAAAATAAATTTTTAATTGTAAATGGACATAATGCCTTTATTTTATTTATTTTTATGTGGTGCTGAGGATCAAACCCAATATCTCACACGTGGTTGGCAAGCACTCTACCACTGAGCTGCAACCCCAGCCCCCACCATTGCCTGATTTTGAAAATGGATGTTAGGAGGTATTTTTTTGAGGGGGAGGGAGTTATGCTGGGTATTGAACCCCAGGGCCTAGCACATGCTAGGCAAGTGCTCTACCACTGAGCTACACTCAGCCCTGGATATTAGTTCTAATTCAGTGTATTATCATTGGTGAACATATTTCTAAAAATGTAGATCAGGAAGGTCCTGGCCTCCAAGGGGGATCAATAGCACCGACAGATGGGTAAGGGGGAACAAGCAAGAGAAGGTGACCTGCAGACACCCAAGTCAGCCACCAATGAGAGAATTGCCCGCCCCTGACCTACTTTGGGGACCAGGGTGCTGGCATAAAGGGTGGCCTTGCACTATCTGAACAGCCAGCTCTGCTTTCTGAGGGTCACTAGCACCAAGGTGTGGATACTTTTTTTCTTCTTTATAAAAAAGAAAATCCCACTGGTAAGTTGACTGAAGCTGTCTCGTGTTATCTCTTATCAGCTCTTTCTTCCTCCTACATGTCTCCTCCTGTCACATTGCCTATCTTGTTCTGACTTTGGGAAAGTATGCCTTGCCTTTCCAGTTCTAATGAAACAGGTGGCAAGTGCAGTGGCATATGCCTGTAATCCCAGCTACTTGGGAGGCTAAGGCAGGAGGATGACAAGTTTGAGGCCAGCCTGGGCAGCTTAGCGAGAACCTGTCTCAAAATAAAGCTTTAAAAGGACTGGGGGTATAATTCAGTGGTAAACTGCTTGCCAAGCATGTGCAAGGTCCCAGGTTTAACCCCCAGTAATTGAAAAAAAAAAGGCATATCTCTGAGAGATTTCAGGTTCACTTCCAGAACACTGCAATAGAGTAAATTGTCTAATAATAAAAGTTATGTTTAGGACTGGGGCTGTAGCTCAGTGCAAAGTGCTTGCCTAGCATGTGTGAGACACTGGGTTCAATCCTCAGCACCACATAAAAATTAAAAAATAAAATAAAGGCATTTTGTCCACCTACAACTACAAAAAAAAAAAGTTACGTTTACGAACAGGGCACAGTGACTCATGCCTATCATCCCAGCAGCTCAGGAGGCTGAGGCAGGAGGATTGCAGGATCAAAGCCAGCCTTAGCAACTTATGGAGGCTCTAAGCAACTTAGCAAGACCCTGTCTCAAATAATAATAATAATAATAATGGGCTGGGGATGTTACTTAGTGGTTAAGCAGCCCTGGGTTTAATCCCTGGTACCAAAAAAAAAGTTATGTTTAAAATATCCAGTATTCTATTAAGTGTGAAATAGCATTATGCTTAAAATGTGCATAGCTTAATTTAAAATATTTTATTGCTAAAAAAAATGTTCAGTATTATCTGAACTGTTAGAACAAAACCAATAGGTTTGTTCCACTCAGGGTGTCACAAACTTTCAACTTGTAAAAATGCAATATCTGCAAAATACCATAAAACAAGCTATATGTGTAGTCTGTATTGGGTTTTAAAACAGGTGTGGTGCTGAATTTGGTCCATGCAATTACATTTCATCTGATCTCTGTTACCTTCAATAGGTCTCTCCCACGACAATGTCTTCCATTAAGATCGAGTGTGTTTTGCCAGAGAATTGCCGATGTGGTGAGTCTCCAGTATGGGAAGAATCATCCAACTCTCTGCTCTTCGTAGACATTCCTGCAAAAAAGGTGTGCCGTTGGAATTTGCTCACCAACCAAGTGCAGCGAATGACCGTGGGTAAGGATGAAGTTTGCCCTCACATCTTTACAGTTAGGGGAGGGATGGTCTCCTTGTTTGTCATTCCCCTGGGACCTTCTTGTTAAAGCATACTTAATGTGCTTCAAGACCTTTTCGATTGTCACATTCTCTGTGTCAGAGTTCTGTGTTCTCTCACTTTGACCCAGAAGTAAATTATGGATCATCAATGCTTCCCTCATCCACTTAAAAAGTGAGGGGCATATTCACAGTTTTGTTTGATTGGTTGTTTTTTTCTTTTTGCAGTGTTGGGGAGGGAACCCAGGGCCTAGTGCGTGCTAGGCAAGTGCTCTACCACTGAGCTGCACCTCCAGGCCTCCAGTTTTGTTTTGCTGTGGAGGAACTATAGTAGCTATCTTCCCTTAACATCTTTAGATAACAGCACTGAAAATTGGAAGACTTGGTTAGTGATACTTCAAAGGCCACCTATCTTAATTTTCAAAATAATAAAAAAATAAAAAACATATCCCTTCTGTGAGTGTGAAAATAAGAGTTTCTGAACTTCAAAATCATCAACCAAGACTAACTTTGATCACTGCACAAATGTAGAATTCCTGTTGGAATTTCATGTGCCTTTCAGTGTGATACCATTTAGGTCCCTGCACTTTCCAGAGAAGGAGTTTATTGCTTTCTATGGCCCAAGGCAATGAGCTGGTGTAATTATCAAAAGAGAAAGAAGTTTCTTGTTTTCATTATTGTGTTCATGGGAAAAGATATCAGGAATTCCTGTAACCTTGGGAATTCCTGATTTCTGCCCATGAATTCAGTTGGAAAACTGAAACTTTCTGGGCAGGGAGTGTGGGGGTGGTGATGGGAATGGACCCCTTTCACATGCTAAGTATGCACTCTGCTACTGAGCTACACCCCAGCCTGGAAGCAGCCTTTTAATTCTCCTAGGGAATATGACTGCTGCTGGGGGCAAAATGACTGTGACCTGGAGGATGGAGGGAATTGCCTTCCCTAGTTCTCCTTTTTTCTTTTCTTTCTTTCTTTTTTCTTTTTTTTTTTTTTTTTTTTTTTTGATACCAGGTATTGAAGCCAGGGGTGCTTAACTACTGAGCCACATTCCCCAGTCCTTTTTTGTATTTTATTTAGAGATAGGGTCTCACTGAGTTTCTTAGTGCCTTGTTAAGTTGCTGAGGCTGGCTTTGAACTAGCAATCCTCTTGCCTCAGCCTCCTGAGCTGCTGGGGTTACAGGCATGCACCATCACACCCAGCCCCTAGTTCTCTTTTCCAGTATGTACACATGTCTACCCCTAATCTGTAAAGCACTCCACCCCAAACCATGAAAAGGGCTTGTGATGTCAGCAGTTGCTTGGTCTTAGTCTATAGAATAAGATCCTTGAGGAGGGTCTGACCCTCCTAATAGTGTCCTGCACATTCCTTGGTACCCTCAATAACTTGACTTGATCTTTGAGCAGGGTTTTGAACTAAGAGAGCCCAGTACTCTACACCAATTGTTTAGGTGTTTAGGAAATGTTTTCAAAATAAATTCTAATAAATTCATTTCCTTTGAGAGAGCCCAGTACTCTACACCAATTGATTAGGTGTTTAGGAAATGTTTTCAAAATAAATTCTAATAAATTCATTTCCTTTGACTTCTCTCCATAGTAACTCATCTCTCCACTTTAAAATATATATAAAAAATAGCTGATCCCCAGCACTGCAAAAAAAAAAAAGCTTTGTTATACATGGAAAAATATTAAACCCAGAAAAATCTAAATTTTAAAAATACAAAATATAGTAACATAATGAAGAGGTGTTACTATATTATCACTACATCTACATTTCTGCTATTTTTACCATGTTTATCTCCCAAACAAGATTTGAGAAGCAATGTTCAGTTAGATACGGAAAAATATCTGGGGGTAAAACTCAGTGGTAGAGCACTTCCCTAGCATGCTCGAAGTCCTGAGTTCCATCCCAGCACTGAAAAAGACAAGTATTGTATCGAAGAAGAGAGATGTCACAAAACCTATTTTCTGGAACTAAAGTTCAAGTCTCCAAATTTCCTGGAAGTCAGGCAAATTGAGTATCACTCACTCTATGTGGACTCTTTTGGTACCCCAAGATTAGGGACTCACTCTGTAGATTTGAGGTAGTGCCTGCCCAGGTGTATTGAGGCTGCAGTGATTTTTTTTGTTTTGTTTTGTTTTGTTTTGGTGCAGGGTCTTGAACCCAGGGCCTCATGCATGCTAGGCAAGCACTCTACCATAGAGCCACATGCCCAGCCTCAGTTGCTGTGGTTTGACTTCTCTTCTCCCCTGAGCCTGGGAGCTTTCAAAGGAGTTGGATCATATTCACCTTCCTATCTTTGCTACCCAAAACAGCATATAGAGTTCATGCTCAAAAAAATATATTGAGTTATGTAGCCTTTGCTATTCAACAGGAGGAAGAGAACGCTCCCATTATCAAAATCAGTAGAGTCCTTCTTTAAGAGATGTCAGGTAACATCATGGCCTCAGTGTGCTGCTTAGCCACTGGACTGTTTGTTGTCTTCTAACTATTGCTTTTGCCTCTACAGATACCCCAGTCAGCTCAGTGGCCCTCCGCCAGTCAGGAGGCTATGTCGCCACAGTTGGAACAAAGTTCTGTGCTTTGAACTGGGAGGATCAATCAGTAGTTGTGCTGGCTACAGTGGATAAAGACAAGAAAAATAATCGATTCAATGATGGGAAGGTGGATCCCGCTGGGAGATACTTTGCTGGTATGGTTTTTTTCTAGCATCTGCTTGCTGAGATTTGAAGGAAACACTATGACTTGGAAAGTTCTCACTGCTGTAGTAGTCAAAGTGTTATTCAAGAGGGTCTTAGATTTTTTTTGTTTGTTTTGTTTTTGTGGTGCAGGGGATGAAACCTAGGACCTCAGACATGCTAGGCAAGCAAGCACTCTACCACTGAGCTACATCCCCAGTCCCTTTAAATTGGAAATAATTTCAGTTTTACAGAGCTAGTGCCACTGTGCATGCTGTAATCCCAAATACTCAGGAGGCTGAGGCAGCAGAAAGTTAAAGGTCAGTCTGGGCAACTTAGCGAGGTTGTCTTAAAATAAAAATAAAAAGGGCTTGGGGTGTAGTTTAATAATAGAGCACTTGCCTAGCACATGTGAAACCCTGATTTTAATCCCCAGTACCACACACAAAAACAAATTTACAGGAAAAATGTAATAATACTAAAACAACTGTACACCTTTTGCCTAAAATCACCTGCTAACATTTTGTTCCTCTTCCTTTAACATTTGCTCTGTCTAAACTTAACTATCTCCAGAATCATTTGAGAATACGTTGCATATAAATCATGAGTCTTTACCCCTAGACTACTTGAGTGTGAATTTCCCAAGAAAAATAACATATTCTTCCAACGTGAAGAAGTTTAACATTGATTCAATAACTTTATCTGATGTACTGTCTATATTTTAGTTATGTGAATTGACCAAATATCCTTTATAGAATTTTTTGGGCTGTGAGTATAGCTGAGTAGTGGAGGGAGTACCTAAGCATGCCAAGGCCCTGGGTTCAATCCCCAGCAGCACACACACAAAAAGAATTTTTCTCCTTTTAATAAAGGATCAAATCTGGGATAGTGTGTTAGACTTTCTTGCCTTGTCTTTTCATCCTCTAATCTGGAACACTTCCATGGGCTTTCTTTGTTTTTTATGGCATTACCATTTTTAAAGGATTCAGTCCCACCTAACTCCCCCAACACTTTTTTTAATAGAACATTCTTCATTTTGTAGTAATCTGATGTTTCCTTGTGATTAGTTTAATGTTATTCACTCTTGGCTGGAATACTGTGTAAGTGATGTTCTGTCCTCAGAGTATCTCATGTGGAGGCACATGATGTCCCTCTGCCCCTCATTGGTGATGTTAATTTTAGTCACCAGGTTAAGGTCCTGTCAGATTTCTCTATTTCATAGTAAGTGTGTTTTGTTTTGTTTTGCTTTGCTTTGTTTTGTGGGTTTGTGTGTATGACAGTAGGGATTGAACCCAGATGTGTTCTGCCACTGAGCTACATCCCTGGCCCTTATTTATTTATTTAGAGACAGGGTCTTACTATGTTGCCCAGGCTGGCCTTGAACTTGTGATCCTCCTGTCTCAGCCTCCCAAGTAGCTGGGATTACAGTTATGTACCTCTGCACCTGTCTACAATAACTGTTTTTTTACTGCAATTTTTTTTTTGGTACCAAGCATTGAATCTAGGGACATGAAACCACTGAGCCACATCCTCAGCTCTTTATTTTATTTTATTTTATTTTATTTAGAGACAAGGTCTCACTGAGTTGGTTAAGGCCTTGCTAAATTTCTGAAGCTGGCTTTGAACTCCGAGATCCTCCTGCCTCAACCTCCCTCTCAAGCAGCTGGGATTACAAGCATGCGCCACCACACCCATGCCCAGCTTCACTGCAATTTATAAGCAGTTTGTAGGATTTGTTAGTTATATCACTGTGTAGCAAATTACCCTGAAAGTTAGTGGCTTAAAATAACAAATACATATTATCACATGTATTTTCTGAAGGTCAAGAATGTGAGTGTAGCTAGATGATTCTGTTTCATTCTGTCTCATGAACTTGTAATCAAGCTGTCAGCTGGGGATGGATTCTCTGAAGGAACTTGGAGGATTTGCTTCCAGGTTCACTCACATAGGGGTGGACAAGAGGGAATCTTCAATTTCTTACCACATGGGTATTTCCATAGGACTGTTTAAGACAGACTTCCCCTAGAGCTAGTGATGAGGGGCAGGGGAGAAAAACATGCAGGATGAAAGCTATAGTCTTATAACAAATCCTAGAAGTGATATATTATCGTTTCTGCTGTCTGATATGGATCACACAGACAATGATGGATGGAGAGGTCTACACAAGAGTGTTAATACTGAGAGGCAGGGATCATTTGGACCTATCTTGAAGCCAAATCCCAGCTACTTGGAAGGCTAAAGCAGAAAGATCACAAGTTTCAGTCCAGCCTGGGCAACTTAGTGAGACCCTGCTTCAAAATAAGAAATAAAAAAGGTCTGGGCATGTAGCTCAGTGGTAGAGTGTCCCTAGGTTCAATCTCTAGCACTGAAAAAGAAAGTTAGGTTTCTTGAGGCTGGCTGCAACATGGAGAGATACTTTAAATCCAAGCAAATACTCTGGTACTCATCCAAATTGCTCTGGTACTCATCCAAATTGCTCTGTTAAGTCATTGTTAATTCTTGTTTGAACCAATCTTGACTATGATGGCTGCAGAATGACTTCTATTCAGCTTTGAAAAAATTTTAGTTAACAGTTTCAAATTAGATATTGCACTTCAGACATATACCTTACATCATTAACAACCTTATAAATTAGCCAAAGTTGATCTTCGTCCCTGATATTTCCACCTTCCCACGCTGTCCCTTCATGGCTGTTGATGACACTATCCTGGCTCCATTCACTGTCACCATGGAAGGCACATGAGATCTGAGCGGCTGGCTGTAAAATGTTCCCCAACTTCCTGGACTTTATATGACCATAGATATTGTGCAGGGCAGGTTGAAAGGTTAAAGATGAAAAGCCACTAGAAGCCCTTCTGCCAGTAATTGCTTGAAGATAAAGAATTATAATTGGATCTTCCTAATGAAGTCAATTTTTTTCTCTCTCCCTTATGGCTAGAAGTTTACAGTTCTGTGATACTTTATGAGAAAAAAGATATCTTCTAAGGCCTGAGTTTTGCTTTGTTTTGCTGTCCTCAATACTGGGGATTGAACCCAGGGGGGTTCACTTGATCCCTAAACTACAATCCCAGCCCTTCTTATGTTTTTATTTTGAGACAAGCTCTGTCCAAGTTGCTTAGGGCCTCGCTAAGTTGCTGAGGGTGGTCTCAAATGCAGTCCTCCTATCTCAGCCTTCCAAGCTACCAGGCCCATCCTGAGACCTGAGTTCTTAATCTGGAGTCTCTGGGTCATCAGAAAACCCCTGAAAATTATGTCATCATGGTTGTACCTACTGGTGGTATGCACTGCCAGAAGCACCTGGGGACATTTTTCAAGAGAAGGGTCATAGTTCTCAGCAGGTGCTTAGAAATGTCTCAGGCCCAGAAAAGAGACATCTGACAGTCTAGAAGGAGTCTCCTGGTGATCATACCCTGGAAGTATCACCACACCCAAGGTCTGACATGTCTGTGCTCATTACTACATGGTAAAGCACACACCAGGTTATTCTCTCTCAATAAGGAAAAGCCCTTTCCAAGGAGGCCTTTCACATTCATGTTCCAGGCATCTCTTCCTGTGAGACAGATAGTGTAGATGAATATTCATGAAACAAACTCAAATGTCCTATAACAAGAAATTGCTCTGTGATCATCCTTCTTCCCAGGATCGGAAGAACTACCTGGTCTTGCTTGCTATTCAGGTTTCCCATTTATAATTCATTTTCCTCCTCTAACTTGCTTTTCTTTCAGATGATATATGATACAGTAGGTGAGCTTTCCAGTTTCTTCATTATAGTCAGATTCTGCTCTGTTCCCTGAGGTCACACTCAAGTTCAGAATATCGAATAATGACTACAATAAATAAAATATTCTATATGCATTTGAGAAGAATGTGTCTTCTGTTGTTGGATGGAGTGTTCTACAGATATCAATTAGATTCAATTGGCTGAGGGTATTCCATTCTTCTATGTCTTTACTGATTTTATATCTACTTGTATCTATTACTGAGAAAAGAATGGTGATAGTCTCCAACAATAATTCTATATTTTTTCTATTTCTCCTTTCACTTCTGACTTTTTCTATGTGTGTGATGCTGGGGATTGAACACAGGGCCATGTGCATGCGAGGCAAGTATTCTACCAACTGAGCTAGATCCCCACTTCTGACTTTTGCTTTGCGTATTTTGAAGCCCTGTTGTTAAGCACACACACGTTTAGGATTACTATATATTCTTAGTAAACTGACCATTTTAAATATTTAGTTCCTTTCTTTGTCTCTGAAATCATTATTCCCCTATGTGTAATGTGTCATTTTTCTTTCATTGCTTACAAATTTGATTTTAATTTTCAGCAATTTGATTATGTGTCTAAGCATGCATTTATCCTGGTTTGGAGTTGCTCACCTTCTTTTTCAAAATGCCTTTATTTCATTTGTTTATTTTTATGTGATGCTGAGGATCAAACCCAGTGCCTAACATGTGTTAGGCAAGTGCTCTACCACTGAGCCACAACCCCAGCCCTCGCTCACCATTTTATTTTTATACCAGGTATTAAACCCAAGGGCACTTAACCACTGAGCCACATCCTCAGCCCTTTTTGTATTTTATTTAGAGACAGGGTCTCACTGAGTTGCTTAGGGCCTCAATGAGTTGCTGAGGCTGGCTTTGAATTTACAATCCTCCTTCCTCAGCCTCCAGGATTACAGGTATGTACCAGCATGCCAGGCTTGCTCACATTCTTGGATCTATAGTTTTATGCTTTTCCCCAAGCGTGGTGGGGGCGGTGATGCATTAGCCTTTTTGTTCCATTGATCCCTGAGGCTCTGTTCCTTTTTCTTCCAATATTTTTTCTCTTCCTCTCCGGTTCAGATTGTATAATATTTGCAGGGGATGGGGAGCTGGGGATTGAACTTAGGGCCTTGCACATGCTAAGCATACTATCTACCACTGAGCTATTCCCCTAGTCCCAGATAGTATAATTTCTATTTGTCTATCATCAGGAACACTGATTCTTTTCTGTCATCACTATTTTGCTATTGAGTCAATCCTAAAATTTTCAGTTCTAAGCTGGATGTGGGGATGCATACCTATAGTCCCTGCTACTTGGGAGTCTAAAGCAGGTAGATTACTTGAGCCCAGGAGTTTGAGGCCAGTCTGGACAAAATAAAAAAAAAAATCAGTCTCAAAAAAATCATTTCTTAAATCTTCATTTGGTTATTCTTTATATCTTGTATGTCCTTGCTGATATTTTCAATTTTGAGTTTTGTTTGAAGACTGTTTTTGAGTTGTAGTAGTCTTTGTGAAATAATTCCAACATCTGCCATATCATTTTCAGCATCTGTTGATTGTAGTTTCCTATGTGAGTTTATTTCCATGTCTCTTTATGTTACCAAGTGTATTAGTCAGTTTTCTGTCACTATAACAAAATATCTGAGGGAATCAACTTGTAAAGAGAAAAGTTTTTGGATCTGGAGTTGTAATTTAATGGTAGAGCGCTTGCCTAGCATGTGTGAAGCACTGGGTTTGATCCTCAGCACCACATAAAAATAAATAAAAGCGTTGTGTCCATATATAACTAAAGAAAATTTGTAAAAATTTAAAAAGAAGAGAAAAATTTTATTTGGGCACACAGTTTTGGAGGTCCCAGTCCATGACCCATTGTTTTGAGTCTCTGGTGAAGCAGCTCATCATAGTAGAAATGCATAACACAGCAAACTGCTCACCTCCTGAGTCAAGAAGCAAAGAGTGACTAGACCAGCCAGGGTCCCACAATCCCCTTCAAGGGCACCCCCCACCCCATTACCTAAGGACTTCCCATGAGACCTCACCTCCTAAAGATCCACAGCACCTCCTAGTAGCACCACCCTAGGGACCAAGCCTGTTACACATGGACCTTTAAGGACATCCAATACCCAAACTATAGTATCAAATCATCTTCTGTTGTATCCTAGAAGCCCCTGAGTCCTGTTTAAATCCTATAGAACATGTTGTTATAATTGTCTTAGCAGGCACTATATATGTTTAGGGTAAGACCACAAATTCCAACATGCTTTCTATTAGGTACTATGAGCATCTGTCCCATATGTGTGCCTGTCAGTAATCGGTCTGGTATAGAAGGTCCATTGGCTTCACTCCAAAAATCTTTTTTGTTGTTTTTGTTGGTGGTGGTTCTGGAAATTGAACACAAGAAGGTTCTACCTCTGTGCTACATCCCAAGCCCCTCTTTTTTGTTTTATTTTGAGGCAGGGTCTCACTAAGTTGCCCAGGCTGGCCTTGAACTTGTAATCCTCCTGCCTCAGCCTCCTAAATAGCTGGAATTATACCACGCTGGGCCCCAAATCTTTAATATACTGATTAGAATCCAATACATGTATGTACAAATTGGGGGTGAGCCTAGGCGTTCCTAAATAGCTTTGGAGGATTGCATTCCTCAGCAACTGCCTCTTTATTATCTCTCAGTACTTTCCAGTTTCCTGGAGCTCTCCTTTTCATTTCTCTAGCCAGAAACCACCCATTTCTATGATGATGCTGCCTATGGGGCCAAGCAGCAAAAGGACAGAGAAGAAAAGAATTTAAAAGCAAAGGGTTTAAAAAAGAATCAAAGTGAAAGTGCTTGGCATGCAGCATAACCAAATGGAAAGGAATATCCCCTTCTTTCAGAGTTTTGATTCCTGTAGTTTCCTATTTCTGGCCACTCTGCTGTTGCCACCCCTGCTAGCAAACTGTCTAGAGACTGGTGCATGAGAAAAAGGAGAAAACAGAATGGAAAATAACCCAGGTGCTTCTTCCATGCCCTCTGAGCTTCAAGAGTTTCCTTTTCTTGACCAGGCATGGTGGTATATGCCTGTAATCCCAGTGACTAAGGAGGCTGAGGCAGGAGAAGAATAAGGCCAGCTTTAGCAACTTAGCAAGGCCCTAAGCAACTTAGTAAGACCCTTCAAAATAAAAATTAGGGGACTGGAATTGTAGCTCAGTGGTAGAGAGCTTGCCTAGTATGTGTGAGGCACTGGGTTCAATTCTCTGCACTGCATATAAATAAATGAATAAAATAAATGTCCATCAACAACTAAAAATATACTAATAAATAAATAAAAATATAAGGGCTGGTGATGTAGCTCAGTGGTAAAGCACTTGCCTAGCATGCACAAGGCCTCAGGTTCTATCCCTAGTGATACATAAATAAATAAATAAATAAATAAATAGCTGTACCATGCATGTTGTCCAGGTTTTAGAGTTGTTCTCAGTAGGAGAAAATGAAGTTGGCACATGTCTACCCCATCTTATTAGGAATCGGGATGTCTCAGCATAATTTTTTCTTAATACCTTTATTTTATTTATTTGTATGTGGTGCTGAGGATTGAACCCAGTGCCTCACACATGCTCTACCACTGAACCACAACCCCAGACCCTCAGCATAGTTTTAATTTGCATTATAAGCAAGGTATTTGTCATTTTTAAAAATGTAAAACCTAAATTTGGTGTAGTGGTGCTTGTCTATAGTCCCAGTGACTCAGGAGGCAGAGTCAAGAAAATTGCAAGTTTAAGGCCAGCTCAGCAATTTAGGGAGACCTTCAACAACTTAATGAAACCCTGCCTGAAAAAATAAAGAGTGAGGCATGGTGTCTCATGCCTGTAATTCCAGTGACTTAGGAGGCTGAGGCAAGAGGATCACAAGTTCGAGGTCAGCCTCAGCATCTTAGTGAGGCCCTAAGCAACTTAATGAGACCCTGTCTCAAAAAATAAAGGGCTGGGGATATGGCTCAGTGGTTAAGCACCATTGAGTTCCATCCCCAGTACCAAATAAATAAATAGGGCTGGGGATTTAGCTCAATAGAGCACCCCTGGGTTCAATCCTTAGTACCACAAAAAAGTAAATATATATGCATATATACATATATATGATGTGTATCCCAACTTGAGATGTATAGTAATTCCCTGGTTTATTTTTTTAAGATTATTTATTTTTTATTTGGTACCAGGGATTGAACCCAGGGGCGATTAACCACTGAGCCACATCCCCAGCCCTTTTTATTTTTATTTTTTTAAGATGCACACCTATGGGGCTGGGGATGTGGCTCAAGCGGTAGTGCGCTCGCCTGGCATGCATGTGGCCCGGGTTTGATCCTCAGCACCACATACAAACAAAGATATTGTGTCCACTGAAAACTAAAAAATAAATATTAAAATTCTCTCTCTCTCTAAAAATAAAAAGATGCACACACACACACACACACACACACACTCCTTTTCTTTTTTTAAATATTTTTAGATGTTATGAACCTTTATTTTATTCATTTATTTGTATGTGGTGCTGAGAATCGAACCTAGGGCCTCACACATGCTAGGCAAATGCTCTTACTACTGAGCCACAACCCCAGCCCCTATTTTTATTTCTATTTTTTTTATTTTGAGACAGGGTCTCTCTAAGTTGCTTAGGGCCTCACTAACTTGCTGGGGCTGGCTTGGAATTTGCAATCCTCCAGCCTCAGCCTCCCAACCCACTGGAATTAGAGGCGTGTGCTACTATACCTGGCAATTCCCTTGATTTAAACACTGGAAAGGATCTCTGATGAGAAAGAATGGTGTTGTGCATGGAATGAGATACTGTGGGGCCCAGCTCAGTGCTCTTTGGTTTTTGTAGGTACCATGGCCGAGGAAACAGCCCCAGCAGTACTTGAGCGACACCAAGGGTCCCTGTACTCTCTCTTTCCTGACCACCATGTGAAGAAGTACTTTGACCAAGTGGACATTTCCAATGGGTTGGATTGGTCCCTGGACCACAAAATCTTTTATTACATTGACAGCCTATCCTACTCTGTGGATGCCTTTGACTACAACCTGCAGACAGGACAGATCTGTATGTACTTTATCATTATTTTTCTCAATACTTCTGGTATATTTTTCATGTTTGTGATTAGTAAGGCACCTCTTCCTCAACCCATGTGAAGAGGTCCTTACTGTCAAATACAGAATTTTCCAATGTTATTATTCCCATATAATAATGATTACACAGACTTAACTGAACTGCTAAACTGTGGCCCTCAACACAATGAAAATGTGGTCAAGATTGGCCTAATATGCATAGACCATTAATCCTTTCTTTCCACCATCATCAGAAAGGTATTCTCTGGAAAAAGAATCCTGTTCTAACAGAAGTACCTAAAGACCAATAATATAGAACAGTGTGAGATAAAAGAAAATTAGAGTTTGGTTCCTAATCTTTATTTGTACTTTACATGATCATGGACTAGTACTCAGAGGCAAATTAACAACTTTGAAAACAGAAAAGCAGTTACAGATTGGTTCAATTCCATCAATGTGCTGTAAATAAGACATATTTGGAAACTAGGAAGGAAGGAATTATTTAGAAAAATCTAGAAGGGAGTCCTTGAACTGTTTGATGAAAGGTGCCAGACCAAAAGAGCAAAACTAATCATAAAAATGACTTGAAAAAAATCACAAGGCTCTCCATGCAGATTTAATCAGAGGTAAAATATTCTAGTACAGATACTTTTGCTTTGAAATATGTAGTGTTCTTTTTTATGACTGTTTTTATCCATTTTCCTTACACATGGTTTGAACATTTTTCCATTATATTTCAATCTGATTACTGTAGTGACCTGATTTTTTTTTCCTTTGGTAAGGAGGGTTGAACACAGAAACACTTTACCACTGAGCTACATCTTCAGCCCTTTTTATTTTTTATTTTGAGAGAGGGGCTTGCTAAGTTGCTTAGACTTGTGATCCTCTTGCTTCAGTCTCCTGAGTTGCTGGGACTACAGGCATGCACCACCCAGTCCTGTACTTTTTGATGTGTGTTTTTTTGTATACCATGATCCCCCACTTTAACCAGGCAATGGGTTTCAGGATGTCCCTCCTTTCCTATGCAATTTCTTCTAATATTTAGTCTTGATTTTGGAGCATGTGGTCAGGCAGAAAAAAAAAATCTCATATATCTTCCTAGTTTGAGGGCACAATTTGTTCACCATTAAGTTGCTTTATAGATCTTAGACTTAATCAAAGTAGGCATTTTTGTAACTAAAACAGCAAAAGTGTAACCACAAGACTAAAGAGTATCTGAGATGGGCCTACAGGGCCTTAGTTCAGGTCAGTCTCAAAGATAACTACCTATTGATATTTTTATTAATTTATTTTATTTTTTTAAACAAATGGAGCACAACTTTTCATTTCTCTGGTTGTACATGATGTACAATCACCATGCATGTAATTATACCCATACATAGGGGTAATAATGTCCATTTAATTCTACCGTCTTCCCACACACACACACACACACCCTCCTCTCTGCTCGATTGATATTTTATTAAGAAGTTTACTTGGAGCTGGGCACAGTGGCCCATGCCTGTAATCCCAGCAACTCAGCAGGCTGAGGCAGAAGGATCACAACTTCAAGGCCAGCCTCAGAAATCTAGTGAGACTCTGTCTTGAAATAAAGAATAAAAAGGACTGGGGATGTAGCTCAATGGTAAAATATGCCAAGAATCAATCCCCAGTACCAAATAGTACCAAAAACAAAGAAGTTTACTTGGATTGGAGGACAAACTCAGAGGTAGAACACTTGCCTAGCATATGTGAGGCCCTGAATTCCATCCCCAGAAACACAAAAATAAAATAATTCTTTTTTTCCATCTTCTTCTGAAAGCTGAGGCACATATGTCTGTACCAAAACAAAAGGGAGTTAATTCACCCCAAATCATGTGGTAATAATCCTTTGTTCACATGCCAGACACTGGATAAGCAGAGGTGATCAGTATTTATAATCAGCTTAAGAGTTCATTGTGTGATTCTCTGTATTGAATGGCCTGTTGCTTTCTTGTGTTTTTGGTTTTGTTTTTTTAACCATAGCCAACCGAAGAAGTGTTTACAAGCTGGAGAAAGATGAGCAAATCCCAGATGGAATGTGTATTGACACTGAGGGGAAGCTTTGGGTGGCCTGCTACAATGGAGGAAGAGTGATTCGTTTAGATCCTGAGACAGGTAGGCCCACAGCAAAGTGCAATCTTTGCCAAGTCTAGAAAGCACCAGATGCTAGGGACTTCATTACTAGTAAAGTTAGAGATATATTCACTGGTCTCATCTGGATGATTTTAGAAAAGGCCAAAGATATAACCCAAAATTTACAAGCAGAACTTCTTTTCCTATAGAGGTAAGTCTCTTTGCTCAAAATAAATCATCAGGGAAGGCAACTTAAATACATGGATGAGTTCTGACCTGTATGGTCTTCTTAGAACTCCACAAGGGGTCCAGAAATACTTGACAGGTTGGAATCTTTTAGAACTAAACTTCAAATAAACTATTTGGCAATTTAGGGAAAAGACTCCAAACAGTGAAGTTGCCTGTTGACAAAACAACTTCATGCTGCTTTGGAGGAAAGGATTACTCTGAAATGTATGTCACCTGTGCCCGGGATGGAATGGACTCTGAGAGTCTTCTGAGGCAACGTGAAGCTGGTGGAATTTTCAAGGTAATATAACTATTTCTTTTATTTGGGGGGTGAGGTAGAGAACTGAGTGGTGCTTTTGCATACTTTCAAAACATAATTCTAGTTGATGTGTTAAGCTTATCATGCTAGACCTAAAAGTATTTTATTTAGATTTTTTAGGCTGTTACCTAGAGTCCAGGATGATATATTTAACCTACTTTGTACAGTATTTTAAAATATTTTTGAGCTTTAGTAGTATTTGTTAGTATCCATCAAATGAATAAAATGAGCTTGGAAAACTGATGTCTGAAACATGTTTACAAGATCACTTGATTATTTTTATATCTTAAGAATATTTTCAGGGATTTTTTAACATTTATTTTTCAGGTGTAGATGGACACAACACAATGCCTTTTATTTTTAATGTGGTGCTGAGGATTGAACCCAGGTCTCACCCCTGCTAGGCGAGTGCTCTACCGCTGAGCCACAATCCCAGCCCTATTTTCAGGTTTTTGATAATTTATTTTTGCAACAGAACAAACATTGACAAAAATCACAGACTTTTTTGAGCTGAAAAGAAATGTAGAAATATAGGAATCACTTCCTTAACAGGTAGGAAGATGATAGATATAAATTTGATGTCTCTGTGGTCCCAGAGAGTAATCCCAGAGACCCAGGAGGCTGAGGCAGGAGGATCAAGAGTTCAAAGCCAGCCTCAGCAATTTAGCAAGGCCCTGAGCAACTTAGCATGACCCTGTCTCAAAAAAAATTTTTTTAAAACAGGCTAGGGATGTGGCTCATTGGTTAAACACCCCTGTGTTCAATGGGGAAGGAGGATGCTTTTGAAGAATATTTGTGAATTAACTTTTTTCAGAGTTTCTCTCTTTTCCAACAGATAACTGGCCTGGGGGTCAAAGGAATTGCCCCCTATCCCTACGCTGGATGAGTAACAGATTTTCCTTCATGCTGAATGAGGCTTTGAAGACAAGCAGAGAATACTGGGGCTGAAATTTCAATCTAGATTAGAAAAATGAAGCAATGATATTAACAGGGTTAAATTTTAATTTTACAATTTTGGGGTACTAGTGATTGAACTCAGGGCCTCATGCATACTAAGTACATGCTTTTTCCCCTAAGCTATAACCCTGCCACATTAATTTACAATTTTTTAAAAAGTATAGCATTTTTAACAGGGGATGTCAGGTGGTTTTGTTAACACACTCTAAGACTTTCAGTAAAAGGTCTTATAAAAATGCAAAGAGTTGTTCAACTATCAGGGGTTGGGGATGTGGCTCAAGTAGTGGCGCACTAGCCTGCCATGCATGAGGCACTGGGTTCGATCCTCAGCACCACATTAAAAAAAGATTAAATAAAGATAAAAAAAAAAAGAGTTGTTCAACTATCAACCAGCCTCTTAACTTTTACAAGTATCTCAGGGTGGTTGGAATGGGACCATATCTGTTCTTTATTCTGCATTCCCTACTTACTTTATCTAAAGATTCAAAAACTAATAAACAGAAACTTGATAATGATTTATTACAATTATGTTCCTTTTTGTTTTCATCATAATCTCATAAAATATACCATGAAGCTAACCTACCTTATTATTACTCTTTTGGGTTTGGTTCTGTTTGTTATTGTTTTTTGCTTGTTATTACTCTTCCCATATGTTATTTTACAAACTAAAGTACTACTGGAGGATAAGACGCTAACACTCTGGCAAAATTCCTGGTTCCAACTGCCACCTACTGGATATAAAAGTAGTATGACACTTTGGAGAGCTTTGTTTTTGTTTGGTTTGATTTGGGTTTTGGTACTGGGGATTGAACCCTGGGGCACTCTACCATTGAGCTACACCCCAGCCCTTTTTATTTTTCATTTGAAGACAGGGTCTTGCTAAGTTGCTGAGGCTGGCCTTGCACTTGTGCTCCTTCTGCCTCAGCCTCACAAGTCACTGGGATTATATGCATGCACCTCAGCATCAGGCTTGGAGAGAATTTTTTAAGTAGCTTTATTGAGTTATAATTAGGCTACACATATTTAAAGTGTACAATTTTACAAACTTGTCATGTATATGTGTATATATATACATATGTGTATATATTGTCAGATATATACGCACATTAATAATACAAACACCATAAACAAGGTAATTAATCTCTCTACTACCCTCACACTTTTCTTTATGTCCCATTGTAATCATTTCTTTGATTTCTCTGTATACTTGTGTCCTATTCCCAAGAAGCCACTAATATGCTTTCTGTCACTATAAATTAGCCTTAAAATTGGGTACTGTGATCCTCAGTACCACATAAAAATAAATAAATAAAGGTATTGTGTCCAACTACACCTAAAAAATAAATATTTTTTAAAAACAAAAAATAAAAATGGTTGGTGATGTGTCTCAGTAGTAATGTACCTCTGAGTTCAATCCCTGGTACCAAGTAGTAGTAGTAGTAGTAGTAGAAGTAGTAGTAACAACAACAATAATAATAATTCTCTGGAAAGGATAGTGTGTAATTATGGTTATTTAGTCTTTAAATATTTGGCAAAGTTCCAACCATTTGGACCTGGAGATTTTTCCATTCCTTTCTCTCTCTCTCTCTCTCTCTTTCTTTTTTTTTTTTTTTTTTTTTTTGAGACAAGTCTCTCTATGTTGCCCAGGCTGGCCTCCAACTTTTGGGCTCAAGCAATCCTTCAGCCTCAGACTCTCAAGTAGCCCAAGTAGCTTGGACTACAGGTATGCACCATAGTGCCTCGCTTTTTGAATTTTATCTTGGAAGACAATTTTTTTTTTGCAGTGCCCAGGAATCAAACCCAGGACATCTCACATGCTAAAGCAAGCATTCTAACACTTAACTACACCACCAGCTCAAGAACTAGATTTTTTTTCCTTTGGTACTGAGAATTGAACCCAGGGGTGCTTAAGGACTGAGCCACATCCCCAGCCCTTTTTTACATTCTATTTAGGGACAGGGTCTTGCTGAGTTGCTAAGTGCCTCACTAAGTTGCTGGGGCTAGCTTTGAACTAGTGATCCTCCTGCCTCAGCCTCCTGAGTCACTAGGATTACAGGCTTGTGCCACTACACCCAGCTCATATTTATATTTTGTCCATCATCTTACTTGAAAATTACCTGAGTCATTATATTTTGAGTTTCTTTATTTATCATATAGTTGGGCCATTATTTTATCCTTCTGACAATCTCTGTATTTTCATTTATGTGTGTATACCATTGATATTTGGTATAATTATTGATATGTTTAGATTTAGATCTGCCATTTTATTATTTGCTTTCATTTTTCCTGTTTATTTTTCTGTTTCCTTTAGGGCCTTCATTTGGGTTATTTGAACATTTTCTTGTACCTTTTGATTCTAACTATATCTACTTACATAATTTTTTCAGTGATTGCTTTAGGGATTATAAAATACAAAGATTTTTATTTTGTTTTGCTTTGTTTTTTGTGGTGCTGGGGATCAAATCCAGGGCCTTGTCTATACTAGGCAAGCATACTACCACTGAGTTAAACTCCCAGGCCCCAAATTAACATTTCTTAGTCTATTAGAATCAATACTTTACCACTTTCCTTTTGATGTATAACCCTTACCCTTCCTCCTTCTTGTTATGTTATTATATACTATGTCTGTATACAGTTATGTGCCACATGTTTCAGTCAAGGGTGGACCACATGCATATACAACAGTGGTCACATAAGATTATATTGCCTAGCAATATATTCTTACATGTCTGTAATCCCAGCAGGTTGGGAGACTGAAGCAGGAGGATTGTAACTTAGTGAGGCCCTAAGCAACTTAGCAAGACCTTGTCTCTAAGTGAAATATAAAAAGAGCTGGGGATGTGACTCAGTGCCTCTGGGTTCAATCCCCAGTACAAAAAAAAAAAAAAAAAAAGACTATATTGCCTAGTAACATTGTACCATAGTAACCATCTAACTTGTACAAGTATACTCTGTGATGGTTGTACAATGACAAAACTATCTAATCATGCATTGCTCAGAACATATTCACCTTGTTAAGTGGAGCATGACTGTACTTTCACTCAATGTTACATATTTTGCTTTTAACTATGAAGCAAGTTTTAAAGAACTCAAAAGGAGAAAAATAGCTCATGCTGCATGCAGTAGCACACACCTATAATCCCAATGGCTTGGGGAGGCTGAGGCAGGAGGAGTTCAAAGCCAGTCCTCAACAACTTAGCAAGGCCCTGTCTCAAAATAAAATATAGTCATATATAACTAATTAAAACAAATTCTTTAAAAATAAAATATATAAAGGGCTGGGGATGTGGCTGAGTGGTTAAGTATCCCTGGGTTCAATCCCCCCACCCCACCCCCACAAAAAAGCTCATTATGTTTACCAAGATATTTACCATTCCTGTTGTTCTTCCTCCTTCCTGATGTTCTGAGTTTCTTTCTTTTATCCTTTTTTATTGTCTAAAGGATTTCATTTAATACTTCCTCTAGGCCAGGTATGCTGCCTGCGACTTCTCTTAATTTTCTTTCATATAAGAATGTCTTGATTTCACCTTCATTTCTAAAGGCTATTTTTACCAGATATGGGATTCAGGGTTGCTAATTCCTTTCTTTTAGCATTTCAGCATTTTAAAATGTGCCATTTCCTTCTGGCCTTCTTGGTTTCTGATAAAAAAGCTACAGTTGTTCCCCTTCAGGTAAATGAGTCATTCTTTTCTCACTGCTTTCAAAATGTTTTGTCTTTTGTTTGCAACAGTTCTGATGTGTCTGGATGTGGATTTATTTGACTTTATCCCATTTTGAGTTTGCTCATTTTTTTGAATCTCTAGGTAGATGTCATTATCTAGCTTGAGATATTTGAAGCCATTATTAGTTCAAATATTTTTACTGCCCCATGAACCTTTCTTTCTAGGAACCCAGTGACTTGAATATTAGACTTTTTGTTGTTTCGCCTGAGATTGTTGAATTTTTTCAATTTTACCCTTTCTGTTGTTCTGGTTCGATAATATTTCTTGATCTATCATCAAGTTCACTGGATTGCTCCTCTGTCATCTTTATTCTATTCTTCTACTGATCTCATCTAGCACTGAATTATCTTTCTTTGGCAGGGGGCAGTAATTGAACCCAGGGGTGCTTATTTTAGTCAGCTTTTTCACTGCTATGACTAAAATACCTGACAAGAACAATTTTAAGGAGGAAAAGTTTATCTGAGGGCTCACAGTTTCAGAGGTCTCTGTCCATAGACAGCCATTTCCATTCCTCAGGACTCAAGGTGAGGCTGAACATCATAGCAGTAGAATGTGGTAGAAGGAAGCAGCTCACACGATGATCAGAAAGCTGATCTACTTTCCAGATACAAAATATATACCCCAAAACCACACCCCCAGGCACTCACTTCCTCCAGCCACACCCTACCAGCCCTCAGTTATCACTCAATTAATCCCTGTCAGGGGTTAATCCACTGATTGGGTTAAGGCTTTCATAACCCAAACATTTTTCCTCTAAACCTCTTGTGTTGTATCACACATGAATTTTTGGGAGATACCTCATTTCCAAACCATAACAGTGCTCTACCACTGAGCTATACCCCAACACTTTTTATTTTTTATTCTGAGACAGGATCTCACCAAGTTGCTGAGGCAGGCCTAGAACTTGGAATCTTTCTGCCTCAGCCTCCCAAACTGCTGGGATTACAGGTGTGTGCCATCCAGCCTGGCCACCCAGTTATCTTTCTAATTTTATCTTTCATTTCTAAAATTTCCATTTGGCTGACCTTTACATGTTCTCTTTTCTATTCAAATACTTTCCATTTTAATATTTGTTCTGAGAATTTTCATGATTGCTCATTCAATCATTTTTTTTAATAATGACTGCTTTAAAGTTCTTCTCAGATAATTCCAGTGTCTGAATGATCTCATTCTTGGCATCCATTGGTTGTCTTTCCCCATCTGAACGGAGCATTTCATTGTTCTTTGTATACTCAGAGATTTTGGATAGTATCTGGGACATTTTGGATATTACATTGGGATTCTGAGTCTTGTTTAAATCCTCT